GTAGATTTCTCCTTGTGTCTTTGCTTCCCTTATCAATTTTCTGCAATTCCTAGCTTCTGATTTGTATTTGTTACTATCAGCTTCCCCTGTCTTCTATTTATTATAGATATTTTTTAAAAAAATTTATAGCTGCTTTCACTTCTAAGTTGTTTTTTAAACCAATACTGCCTTCTTCCTTGATGGTTGATTATTTTTTTTAGGAGTCTAATAAAGCTTTCTTAAACAATTCCTAATGATCAATCACATTTTTCTGAATAAATTCTTCCTCTCAGCAGATTTGGCTCATAATTGTTTTCAGCTTTGTGAGCTTGGCCCTTTTTGAAGCACCAGCTACATATAGCACTGATTTGGACTTTATTCTACGTGCATGTTATAAATGTGATCAAGTCCTGATCACTTGTACCTAAATTACCATTCATTTTAGTTCAGTGATCAGGTCCTCTCTGTCTAGGTCTGTCATAGCATTCCCCAGTGTTAGCTGCAGTGCTTTTTGAGGTAGGAAATTGTTGTCTATAACATTAGAAATTACAAGGACATTTTAGTCCTGACAGCATGAGACCTCCAGTATATGTTGTTCACATTAAAGTCCCTTGTTATGCGGCTTTTTTCCCTTTCTGTCCTAGATAGGTGCAGAGGAGCCAATTTTCATGTGATTAGCAGACACCAACTAATAGCCCACCTTGTGCTGGATCTGTGTGGCTGGGCTGTTTCCTGTTGTGCTGGTGGGGGAGGATGTAGAATCGGTCCCTCCTCACTAATCTGTGCCTCTCTCACTGCTCTCACAGGCCCTGCAATTGGTTTCTCTTCTCTGACGTTCTCAAGAGGCTGAAGCTTTCCTCCCGCATATTCCAGGCTCGCTTCCCGCACTTTGAAATTGCTACCCTGCCCAAGGCGGAGTTCCAGCGTCAGGTGTCCTCGAGCCAGTTGCTGGCCCAGGAGGAGGTGCCAGAGAGCCCCGAGCCACGCCCCCAGGGCCCTGCAGAGACTGTGGAGCTGGTGCGTTACGAGCCAGAGCTACTGCAGCTCCTGGGCTCAGCAGTGGAGTTCCAGGCCTGGAGCAGCTGACGGGGGCTGGAGCTCTCCCCGCATCGGACTGCGTCATGAGGCAATAATATGGACTGATGGGAAGCAGCCTTTTCAATGCCAGCAGCGGGGCCTGGAGTCTTTGGCTGTTTTGCTCTCTCCTTGCAGCCCCTGAACTCCGACTGGGGAGAGACTCCACTTGTCTCCAAGGACTTCCCAGGGTCCCTTTCTAATGAGCAGCAGCAGATGCAGCTCTCTGCAGGTCCCCTTCTAGCTCAGCCGGAAAGCTTGGACCTGCCCCACTGGGCTACCTTAGCTGGGCCTCCTGGCTGTAGGACCATGGGCTCTGAAGTGAGGGACAGTGGGTGCTTCTGCCCTGCCCCGCCCCATAGAACTGCGCCTCTCTCTCAAAAGCTGCCCTCCCCGCAATGTCTTCCATAGTATTTATTTAATTAGTATTTAATTTGTAATGTTTCTTTTGTTTCTGCTGAGTCTGTATCACTGTGATTATTTGAGTCCCAGGCTGTGGTGAAGAGGGCTTCCTCTGGCCCCTCTCCCAGGATGCGCCCAGAGGACACTGCTCTCCCATGAGTAGCTAGCTGTCCAGTGACCGAACTGCTGCGGCCTAGCAGCAAGGGACCAGCTCTCACAACAGTCCCCAGGTTAAATTTTAGGGCCTGTGGGCAGCCCCCTCCCTCACCAGCTTCTCTTGGGGCTGTTTCCTTTCCAAAAGCAAGGCCAGCTGAGAGCTGTTCTCCAGCCCAGGGTTCAGTCTCCCCCAGGTGCTCGCCTGGCTCTCATGCATTTCACTTACATCGCTTGTTTCTGGATTCTTCTGGGCCACTTTGGAGAGGCAGCTGCAGTCCGAGAGCCGCTCCAAAGCCGCAGGCAGAGACTCCAGCTGCCTCCCATCCTCATGGGCTCCTGCTGCTGCTGGAGGGCCATCCTCCTTGACGCAGCATCTGCATGCAGACAGGCCCCTTTCTCCTCCGCTGCCTGTGCCCCTTTCTTCTGTTCAGAGGAGCAGTTCTACTGCAGAGCGCTGGCCTGAGGGGGCAAGTGCCTGCCCCTGGCAGGAGCAGAGAGCAGGGCTGCACCGCTGTGTAGATGGTACAGTTTTATTGTACAGGTGCTAACAAGGATGCTGAGGACTGGACAATCTGTTTCCTAGCTCTCCCCTGTCCTGCCCTGCAGTGGGAGTGTTGGGTGGTTTTTTCTTTGTGTTGTGTTTCGTCCCAGCCGGGGCAGTTGTAGCCTCCCCCGACCACCACTTGTCTGCCTCCCCCTCCCTGGGACCAGACAGCTCCTTTTTTAAGCTGAGGGTTATTGCCTTTGGGTGTGTATTCTGGCTGCTCTTTCTGATTTCTGTTTTATTATAAACAACCGGCTGTGGTGTCAAAAAACACTTATGTACAGAAAAACCTGCATCAGGCCCTCTGCCTCCTGACTCTTCTCTCGCTGTGTGTGTAGTGTTCCGTTACCCGTGGGGGGGAGTGGCGGGGGGGAAAGCACTGTTCTTGGGATGAGAACGCCTGTGCTGGTGGGGTGGAGAGAGAGAAATGACCCTGCCCCTTGGGCTCTGGGAGTTCTCTGCTGTCTGCACTGTGAGATCCACTGCTACAGCCTCTTGTTACTGCTGAGTGAGAACCCAGTCCTGCACCCTTGCTTGCCTGAGGGTAGCATCCTCCTCCAGTGTGCTCTCCTAGAGCCTTGTATCTGCCAGGCTGGGGATCAGCTGAGGCAACTGAAAGCAGGGTGCTCTCTCTACCACTCTGGCCCTGTAGCCTGAACTGCTTTAGTGCAGCCTGCTCCTTTTCCTGCAAGCAGAGGGGCACCTATGCTTATGGCTACAGCAGCTGTGTACAGTAAGATGACACAAAAAGGCAAGGCTGGGTTCTCGCTCACTCAGCGTTTTAAATCTTCAGCTGTGCTTCAGCCCAGTTCCATGGAGGAGCTGTTATTCCCAAGGAGAGTAGTACCGGCCTTGGAGCCTAGGCCTGGCCTCTCAATTTTTGTAACCACCTCAGCACACGTGTACAGAAGCTGCTGGGCACCTGCTCACAGGCCAGGGCAGCAGTAGTGAGTAGCATAAGAAAGAACTTCCACCAAGGGTTTGAAGGCCCAGGTATAGACCTCCAGCCCCAGGACCTTGGCCCAGGCATGTCTGCTCTCCAGGGCCTAATGAACAGTGGTGGCAGGGGAAAGAACTGAGCCCAGGCTGTGGTGGAGAGCAGGGGCAATGGAATGAAACTGGTGTGATGGGCCTTTTCTCCTGCCTCAGCCTGTGTATTCATGTGGGAGGGCTCAGTGGGTGGAGCAGGCTGCTCAGGGAGTGTCACAAACATACCCTTTTCCCAGGTGTAGATGATGATGTTGTGTGGGAGTCAGGGCATGTCAGGCCAGGTGCCAGGGAGATAAGGCCATGCTGCTGTACCACTCCTAGCAGCTCCTTGAGATGCTGTAAGTAGAGAGCCTGGTGCTGGGGCATTGCATGTAGTCTCCTAGCTGCACCTTGAAGGAAAGGTCCATAGGGCCGTGCTACAGCCCCACCCCCAGCAAGCTTGGAAAGCAAGCCTGAGACTTCCAGTGCAGCAGGGGCAGCCGGGGGGATGTATGTTCCCTGGAAGAGTGGGGGGGGGAGTCCTTCCCCACAGAAGAGGGAAGGGATATGTGCATACTGCCCATGCCCTCCCCTCAAGAGGCCATGAAGAAGCTGGCAGGTGGGGCCTTAGCACCCCATGGCAAGTACCACTCAGAGAAAGCACAAGTGCTCGTAGTTCAGCTAAGCCCAGCTTCTATGGCTGCCTGTTCGTGAGGGCACCACTGGTGCCATGTGGACAGAGTGCAGGCTGGATGCCAGGCCCTAGTGCAATGGACCGAGCCGCTGGGAGCAGAATACACCAGCACAGCCACTCCCATGGAGGGGGCAAGTGTCACTCCGTGGTTTGTGGGGGGGGCCAGTGCATGTACAGTGTGGGGGGAGGGGGGTGGATGATGCTCTTCCAAAGCCGGTTTGCCATATTGCATGGCACCAGGGCTCTGAACAATGCTAGGCAGGCAGGCCTACCCCTGCCACATGATCGGTGGACCTGCAGCCCACATGCTATGGGTAATGGAAGGGTTAAATGCCCCTTGGTTGGGAGTGTGGTGGGGATGCTCAGGGCTGGGGGAGGGCACTAGCAGTCTGGGAGTGGGGGGGGGGGTGTCTCAGGGCAGGGGAATAGGGCATGTGAATGTGAAACACCATGAAGCTAGTGTGAGTGGGAGCCTGAACCTGCTCTGCCCTGGCTCTCTGGGCCCCTTGCAATGCCTTCTGGGGCAGAGGCAGTAGGTGCCCAGGCATGGGCCCCTGACTGGCACAGAGGCCAGGCCCCAGCTTGCTGCTCTCGCTCCATGGCCCAGGTTACACATGGGGCTGCTCTATTCCAGTTCCCTGGTCATTGGGCCTGGTGGACACCACCAAGCTCCTGAAGGGCTGCTGCTATTCAGCACTGCTCTGTGACCACTGTCATAAAGGGCCCATAAAGCCAGCATTGCAGGGACACCCCATTGCAGGCGAGGCCCCCCCCAGCTCAGTATGCTAGGGGGTGTTGGGGCATAAGAGGTGGCCTAGGGCACCTTTTTGCCAGCCTCCCGCCCTGGCAAGGCCCACAGGCCATGGCACCCAGGACACAAGTTAGGGCCAGAAGAGGTCCCAGGAGCCCTGCAATTAGAGCAGTGCAAGCAGCACCTCTGGCTCCCTGCAGCAGCCCTAGTGCAGGGGCCCAGCTGAATTCCCTCCCTCCTGGATAATGGGGAGCAGCTCTCATTCCAGCAGCTGTACTCGGGACCAGGCCCAGCCGCTAGCTCAGCCCCTTGGCTCAAGCCAGAACACTGCATATTGGGGCCTAGCGTCTCTGCAGATGGCAACTCATGGATAAGATGAGGAGTGGCACAGCCAGGTGCTGCCACTGCCCTGCCACAGCCCACCACCAGAGTCTGGTGTAAAATGTCTCTTTAATGGGTGAGGGCAAGAAGCAAATGGCATGCAGCCTGTGAGGCTCCCCTCTCCCAGCGTTCCTGGCCCCAGCAGTCCCCAGCTCTGAGTTGGATCCTGTCAGTCCAGGGAACTAGGCTTTCCCAGCATCCTTTGGAGCCGAGGGTGCATCTGCGCACTTCACACCATATCCCAGCATTCCTCCTTGATGTCACCACTGCCTAGAGACAGCAGAGCTGCAGGGCCTGGGGCAGAGCTGGGCGTTGTCAGGAGCTGAGCCATCCGCTCACCAGGGAACGCCACCTCCGAGCTGATGGCTAATTCCAGTTCCACCACAGGTGTCAAGCCCACCTTTGGGTGGCTGAGTTGGGTGCAGCTGTCAGTGCCTCCTGCTGGCAGGGCTGCTGTTGCTTTGCCATCCTGGGAGCTGCTTAGAGCTAGTGGCTGGAGCTCCTGGACCTTTGCATGGTCGGGCAGGCTCTCCTGCTGGGATGCCTGTGTCTTCGGCACACCGGCGAACGTGGTAGGATCACTGGAAAGCAGGCTTGGGAGTGGGTGATCCAGCATAGCCAGGCAGCTGCCGTTGGCCTCCATTGTCCCAATGATGGTGGCAACAACAGTGCCTGGCTGGCCAGTCAGAGCTATTGGCTGGAGCAGACCAGACAAGGAGTGCTGGGGGGCAGCAGGCAGGAGGGGGCCTGCTGCTGGGATATTGCTGCCCGGGCCTGGCAGTGGCTGGGGGAACCCATTCATGGGGAACCCAGGCTGGAGCGGGATCCTGTCCGGAGCAGGGGTGCTGCTTGCAAAAGGAGAACTGGCAGCATTTCCCAGGGCCAGCATTGTGATGAGTGGGATGGGCTGGAGAGTCAGGGACCCCAGCCCCAAGCGACCGGGCAGGAGCGGGGAGCTGGGGAAGGAGAAAGGAAAACGGTCACATGCTGGAGTGAATGTGCAGACTGGGCCCCACCAACCACTGTAGGTGGGGGATGGGAAATCCACCTCCCTCCCCATCCAGGCCCCCACCGCACCCCATATCACCCCTCCGCTGACAGCTGGGGCATGAGCCCCAGTGCTTGTGACCCCCCAGCTGGAGCCTGAGTGCCCAAGGCTCTGTGCTGCCTGCCTCTGCTGACACTGAAATGTTGGCATTGATTGTCACCCATGCACCATAACCCCGCTGCCCTGCCCTGCCCTGCCGTGGCTCACTCAGCCTCGGGTCCCCCGCAACTGCCTCTCACTGTGCCGCCCCATCGGGCCTCCTACCACCTCCCCTTCCTGCCCTGCAGCACAGCTCTCCTACCATGCCTCGCCAGATCCCCCCTTTGGCTCCCCTGCCCCTGCAATGTCCCACCAGCTGGGCTCCCTGTCACCCTGTTCCCGAGCCGCTGAGCCCCTCAACACCATTGGCCTCCTCCAGCCCCATCATCTGGACTCATCACCGGCCCTCTTTCCACAACCTGCCTGCCCTGCACCCCTTGTTCTGGGTCCAGCCAACTTCTCCAGAGAGCTGGTAGCTTGGCCATGGAGGGTACCGCTGCCTGGGTGCATGATGGCAGCCATGGTCCTGTGCCCAGGTTTGGCACAGAGGCTGGGCAGAGCCTGTGGCCCTGGCTGGATCCCAACTCCCCTTGCCCAATGCTGCTCTCAGGAGAGCTGGAGGGTCCTGCCTGCAGTGGCCATGGCACCTTTGCCCTGCTGAAGACAAGCTGCCACTGTGAGGGGCTGCCCTGGGGCAAACACCTCCTCCCCCCGGGCCAGGCCCAGCCCTGGCCTGGAGGCTGGTCCACTCCACTCAAGGCAGTGTCAATGCAATGGTGGGCGAGACATTGTGTGGCCAGAGTCCATGCAGCCCCCCCAAGCCTGTGCTGGGGGAGAGGGGCTGGGGCATGGCTGGCATTCCTCAGCCCTGCATGTTGCAGAACCGGCCCTTCCTCCAGGCACTTACCCCACGGCATGGGCGGGTGGCATGCTGGCCCCCCGCTGCACCTTGGGGGCAGGACACGGTGCAGCTGTAGGCTCCCGAGGCTGGGTCACTGGTGCAGTCTCCCTCTTGCTGCGAGTGGGGAACAGGGCACTCTGGAGGGGGGCAGTCCTGGAAGAGGGCCTGGGGGCCGAGCGGCTGGCTCTGGGGTTCACAGTGCCCACTGTTTCCCCCTCATCCTCAATCACCACCAGGTCCTTGGGCATCTCCTTGAACTGATATACCAGCCGCTGCCCTTCCACCTTGGCCAGAATGCCACGCTGGTAATAGTACCTGGGGATGTCACCAATGCAGCATGGGACTGGGATCTCCCCATCCCCCAGTGCCACAACCTCCCCCCCCGCCTCCTCCAGAGCCAAAACCCACTCCCCATTGCTCTCCTGCATCCCCACTCTGGCTCCACACCCTGGCCCCTGCACAGCCCCCCCTTATCCAATCAGCTCTGCACCCTCTCATGGGGCTTCCCCCAGCACTGTAACCCCCCCCACCGCTCCCCTGCAGCCCCACCTCAGCTCCACGCCCTGGCCCCTGCAGAACCCCCCTTACCCCATCAGTGCTGCACCCTCCGACACAGCTCTCCACCCCCCACTGTAGCCCCCCACACCGCTCCGCTCCTGCCACCATCCCTGCAACCCCCACCCCCCCAGCTGGAGGACCCTACCGCAGTGCCCGGCCCATGGTTTCATAGTTCATGCTGGGTTTGTTCTTTTGCTTTCCCCACAGCCTGGACACTGCCTTGGAGTCCACCAGCTTGAAGATGCCCCTGTCTCGCTGGGTCCATTTGATGTACTTGGGGCAGGTGTTCCTGTCCTGGAGCAGTGCCAGCAGGAACTCCCACAGGTAGAGGGCGTTACCTGGGGGGGGGGGCAGGGAATGGTGGGCGTGAGGGGCAGGTAGTGCACAGCCCTGGGAAGGGGCATCCCAGACCCTCCTCTCCTCTGAACTGCCCCCTGTGCTGAGGAGCCCAGTGCAGCCCTTGTTGTTGTAAGGGCAAGGAGTCAGGGCCCTACTGAGCCCCCGTGAGCCAGCCCATTGCCCCATGCGCCACCCCATCGCTAGCCCGAGTGCCCTCCCTCTGCAGCAGTAGCGAATGTAAGCCCTAGGTCCACAGCCCAGGCAGAGTGGAGAGTTGTTAATCAGTGCACTGCGGGTGCGGGCCACTCCCAGCTGACGTGTTCCAGAGTCTCAGCTTTCCTTCACAATGGACTCTAACCCTCCTGGCTGCAAGGAAACCGTCACTGCATGTAAGGCACAGACAGGAGGGATGCATCTGTCAAGACCAGCTAAGCAGCTCAGAGCTGTAGGCGAGCGCAGGGGAACTGCTGGGAAATCCTCTCAGTATCAGCACTGTTGGTGTCCAAGCACCAAAGAGGAGGAGGAGAGGCCTGGATACAGCTGCACAGAACGTCATCGCCTGCGGGTGGCATCTCGTCCCGGCCTGGGCAGAGGGCAGAGCCTGGGGAAGTACAACCACTCATTTTCTCCACTCTGAACCCTGCAACTCTGTGCAGTACGGATGCTGCCTCCTGGCCCAGGGAGCCTGGACTGATCTAGGGACATTAGCAGGAGCCAGCAAGTTCACCCAGCAGCCCCTGGCAGAGAGCGAATCACCATTATCCACAGCAACACTGGATTGCTCCTGTCCCACTAGGCCTCCCCGCATGGGCTGGAGGCTAGAGCTTTCCCAGGCTGCCATCCTGCTGCGCGCAGTTTGTCATAGAATCATAGAATATCAGGGTTGGAAGGGACCTCAGGAGGTCATCTAGTCCAACCCCCTGCTCAAAGCAGGGCCAATCCCCAATTTTTGCCCCAGATCCCTAAATGGCCCCCTCAAGGATTGAACTCACAACCCTGGGTTTAGCAGGCCAATGCTCAAACCACTGAGCTATGTCTGCCCCCCAAAGCTATCCCTTTGTCCTGCTGTCAGGGGAAAGGGGACTCTGCCGGGGCTGGGGGAGCTGCCTGGGCTACATTCAGAGCCCAAGGTGAGAAGGGCCCATTGTGATCAGCTAGTCTGTCCCCTGCACTCCATAGGCCAGAGAGCTGCCCCACAGGAATCCCTAGGTGATGAGGGAGGGCACTCTGCTGCAGCTGCCGGGCTAGTGGTGGGATGGGCGTATGGGCAGGGCTCCCTGCCCTGAGTCAGACTGGCCAGGGGGTTCAGCCAGGCACGAAGTGTCTCCCATTCGCTCAGCAGCCTCTGGCTGATGATTTGCCCCATCAGGCGCTGAGCCAAACTCGTCTGCTCCCTGCCAAGCTACAGGAGCCGTTTGCTGTGGCCCTGTCCAACCTGACATCTCCCAGCCTGCCCCCCCTCCACGGGCCGCCATGCTGCTCACTACCTTTGCCGTCCTTGCTCTTCCTGCAGATTGGAAAGCCTGGGGTGGTGATGGGGGAAAGGCAGCGGGGGGACTTCGGCTTGCGACCTGCAAGAGGAAGACAGGAGAAAGGAAGAGCACAGCCTCAACCCTCCTACCACCCAACCTGCCTCTCCATGGGCCTCCCCTAGGCCGCCAGCTATTCTCACAGCAGGTGCTGGACCTCCTACTCCTGCAGCATCCTCTGAGTGGGGCCTGGGCACTGCACCTCCCCTGGATTCACTTCAGAGAGCAGCTTCCCTCTGACAGGTCAGGCTGTGGACACAGTGTCTGTCTGTCTCTCCATGGACACACTGGGACTGTGCTGTGTACACAGCCCAGAATCACTGCCCTCCCCACTGAAATGTAGCCATCGTCCGCTGGGGTAAGACTGCCGCTGTTCAAGATCAGGACAGCATGCGATCACTACTGCGGGGTTGCTGTCTTCTCATCACAGTCCTGCACAGCACCACACTCACCTCCAGTGTATCAGTGCTGGGTGAGTGGGGGGTGACCGGCCAACACTGTAGGGTTGGGTCTCAAGAGTCACACAATGGTGATGGAGACAGGCTCAGACCAGAGCAGCTAGTGGGGGTGATGTTGTCTCCACACCCTGGTGCACGGTACTGGGCAGGGGAGGTGGGCTAGGAGCTGGGGGCGGGGCCAGCACTGGTCATGGGGCAGGGGCGGGGAGGATACAAGATAATGATGTCTCTGGTCCATAGTGGCGGAGAGGCAGGAGGACAGCTGGTTTGGCCAGTGTGTGGGGAGCTGCAGTGCAGGGAATGGCGATGGAGGTGGGATGTCCCGGGCAGGTTGGGCAGGGCCCTGGGGCAGGGTTAGGGCTGGTAGCTGGGACTCACGGGGATGCGGCAGGTGCGTGCCAACGAGGAGGCTGGCTCTGCGCCAGGCGCTCCCCGCCAACAGAACAGGACATGTCACAGGCCCCAGGAGCCCTGCTGGGAGAGGAGGGCATAGCATGCACAGGATTTAGGGGACCCAGGTTACCTTTCCTCCTGGGCTGCTTCCCTGTTTGCTTCCTGGTGGACCCAGGCAGGGGATTCTCCTCATCCTCAGACCTGCGCAGGCCGCTGGCTTCCCCCAGACCCAGGGGGCAGGCCCCTCTGTCCAGGGAAGCCCCCGTGCCACCAACTACAAGGGATACAATGGGAAGCCTGGCTAAACATGGGGCACCAGATCAGCATCACGCCCCTAGGACCCTCACTTAGACTGGGCCATGCCAGCGACTCCCCCGCCCACCAAGATGCAGCCACCCTGAAAGAAGGCCTCTAACCTGCAAATAGATCCTATCTAGGTGTGAGCACCTCCAACCCTCCTACCCCGCCCACAGGAGGGGAGAGCCACCTTGCCCTGATGCTCCCCCGTGAGTGGGGGAAGGCCCCCAGCCACCACTCTGTGAGAGGGCATGGGCCCTTGTACTGCCTGTGAGGGGGTGGGGCCAGTTCCTCCTCCCCATGAGATGGGAAGGGCTCTTGCCTGCCCTGTGAGAGGGGAAGGCCCCCAGCCCTGTCCCTCCCACAACCTAAGAGGGGAGGGCCACTGCCCAGGAAAGGCGACTCACGCAGGCGCTTCTCATCCAAGATGTTGTTGGGTGACTCCACCCAGAGCAGGCCCTCGCCAGCTGCAATGGGGGGTAATGGCTGCTCAGCGTCACCTGCAGAGAAACAGCCTGTGTCAGTCCAGCCACCCCAACTTCAGGGGGAACGGAACCAACCTGGGGCACCCACCTTCTGCCAGGCTTTTCAAAGAGCCCAGCCCCCAGCAGCACCTATTGTTTCGGTAGGGATGATGGGGCCGTTCCCCCTCTCGGTGCAGGCTCAATGCAGACTCTGGCAGGCAGTGCTGCACAAGGTTTCCTTGACCCCATCAAGGCTGGAGCCATGGCACTGCCCCTGCCAGTGGAGATGGTGGTGCATAAACATGCGGCTTGCTAGCTGCATCATCATATGCAGGGCTGGAGCTAGACTGGCTCTGCACACCAGGGGAGAGCCCTGAGCTCAGCCTGCTGGGTCTCAGCAAAGGCCTGGCTTTTGGAGTCTTAGGGGATCTGCAAAGGATGAAACGCCCTCTTCCCCCTTGCCCCCGTATGACCCACCTGGCACTGTGACACTGTCCCCAACAACCTGCGGCTCGGGCTTGTCCAGCAGCCCATCTGCCATGATGCCACTGGGCACCTCATCCAGTTCCAGCCCCGAATACACACACAGCAGGTCTGTGCAGGGAAGCTGCTCCTCCAGTGGGGCAGGAAAGGCCAGTGGGTCATCAAGCTGCAGGGGAACAGACATACATCATACACAGTGCAGCTTGAGACTATCCCCCAGCATGCTTAGCACACACCCCCAGAGATCTCAGGCCCAGCCATTGTGATGGGATGTCTCAGGTGCAACCTGGAACTGTGGGACTGCTGTGCCCCCTAAACTCTCTGGCCTGGGCTGTCTCTCCAAATGCTTCGCTAGTGACAAGCAGCAAACCCCTCCAGACGCTGTTATCACTCAGCACAACAGCAGGGGGAGCCCCACACCCAGCTGGATTGCATGAATGCTCCCTGAGCCACTCACGAATCACACAGAGAAAGGCACTGGCCAATTTCCCCCAGCTTCCCATGCTTGCACCCCAGAGCTGTACCGTCTTGCCCTGGTCAGAAGCTTGACCAGTGTAAATTTATTACCCGGGCTACCCCTCCCTCAGCATGGAAAGGTCATGCACCAGCCTTTGTAGCCTGAGCTGAGATTTCCCAAGCACTTCAACCAAACCAAATTGTTTTAGATAAAATTTCAGGATCCTGACACAGGGAAGAAAGGAGAGCAGCAGAATACGGACCCTGGACTTCAGAAAAGCAGACTTTGACAACCTCAGGGAACTGATGGGCAGGATCCCCTGGGAGAATAACATGAGGGGGAAAGGAGTCCAGGAGAGCTGGCTGTATTTTAAAGAACCTTATTGAGGTTACAGGGACAAACCATCCCGATGTGTAGAAAGAATAGTAAATATGGCAGGCAACCAGCTTGGCTTAACAGTGAAATCCTTGCTGATCTTAAACACAAAAAAGAAGCTTATAAGAAGTGGAAGATTGGACAAATGACCAGGGAAGAGTATAAATATATTGCTCGGGCATGCAGGAGTGAAATCAGGAAGGCCAAATCACACCTGGAGTTGCAGCTAGCAAGAGACGTTAAGAGTAACAAGAAGGGTTTCTTCAGGTATGTTAGCAACAAGAAGAAAGTCAAGGAAAGTGTGGGCCCCTTACTGAATGAGGGGGGCAAATCTAGTGACAGAGGATGTGGAAAAAGCTAATGTACTCAATGCTTTTTTTGCCTCTTGTCTTCACGAACAAGGTCAGCTCCCACACTACTGCACTGGGCAGCACAGCATGGGGAGGAGGTGACTAACCTTCTGTGGGGAAAGAAGTGGTTCAGGACTATTTAGAAAAGCTGGATGAGCACAAGTCCATGGGGCCGGATGTGCTGCATCCAAGAGTGCTAAAGGAGTTGGCGGATGTGATTGCAGAGCCATTGGCCATTATCTTTGAAAACTCGGCGATCGGGGGACGTCCCGGACGACTGGAAAAAGGCTAATGTAGTGCCCATCTTTAAAAAAGGGAAGGAGGAGGATCCTGGGAACTACAAGCCAGTCAGCCTAACCTCAGTCCCTGGAAAAATCATGGAGCAGGTCCTCAAGGAATCAATTCTGAAGCACTTAGAGGAGAGGAAAGTGATCAGGAACAGTCAGCATGGATTCACCAAGGGCAAGTCATGCCTGACTAATCTAATTGCTTTCTATGACGAGATAACTGGCTCTGTGGATGAGGGGAAACCAGTGGACGTGTTGTTCCTTGACTTTAGCAAAACTTTTGACACGGTCTCCCACAGTATTTTTGCCAGCAAGTTAAAGAAGTATGGGAAGGATGAATGGACTATAAGGTGGACAGAAAGTTGGCTCGATTGTCAGGCTCAACGGGTAGTGATCAATGGCTCCATGTCTAGTTGGCAGCTAGTATCAAGTGGAGTGCCCCAAGGGTCGGTCCTCGGGCCGGTTTTGTTCAATATCTTCATAAATGATGTGGACGATGGTGTGGATTGCACCCTCAGAAACTTTGCAGATGACACTAAACTGGGAGGAGAGGTAGATATGCTGGAGGGTAGGGATAGGATACAGAGGGACCTAGACAAATTAGAGGATTGGGCCAAAAGAAATCTGATGAGGTTCAACAAGGACAAGTGCAGAGTCCTGCACTTAGGACGGAAGAATCCCATGCACCGCTATAGACTAGGGACCAAATGGCTAGGCAGCAGTTCTGCAGAAAAGGACCTAGGGGTTACAGTGGATGAGAAGCTGGATATAAGCCAACAGTGTGCCCCTGTTGCCAAGAAGGCCAATGGCATTTTGGGATGTATAAGTAGGGGCATTGCCAGCAGATCGAGGGATGTGATCGTTCCACTCTATTCGACATTGGTGAGGCCTCATCTGGAGTACTGTGTCCAGTTTTGGGCCCCACACTACAAGGATGTGAAAAAATTGGAAAGCGTCCAGCGGAGGACAACAAAAATGATTAGGGGACTGGAACACATGACTTATGAGGAGAGGTTGAGGGAACTGGGATTGTTAGTCTGCGGAAGAGAAGAATGAGGGGGGATCTGATAGCTGCTTTCAACTACCTGAAAGGGGGTTCCAAAGAGGATGAATCTAGACTGTTCTCAGTGGTAGCAGATGACAGAACAAGGAGTAATAGTCTCAAGTTGAAGTGGGGGAGGTTTAGGTTGGATATTAGGAAAAACTTTTTCACTAGAAGGGTGGTGAAACACTGGAATGCGTTATCTAGGGAGGTGGTGGAATCTCCTTCCTTAGAAGTTTTTAAGGTCAGGCTTGACAAAGCCCTGGCTGGGATGATTTAGTTGGGGATTGGTCCTGCTTTGAGCAGGGAGTTGGACTAGATGACCTCCTGAGGTCCCTTCCAACCCTGATATTCTATGAGTCTATGAGTCTATGATTCTATAAACCAGATTTATTAACTACAGAAAGATAGATTTTAAGTGATTATAAGTGGTAGGCATAAGGGGTCAGAGATAGTTACCAATGAAAATAAAAGATAAGTGCACAATCTAAATCTTAAACCTTATTACACTAGGCAGTATTTGGATCAAGCAATTTTCTCATCCCACTGGATGTTACAGTTCTTAATACACAGGCCTCCCTTAAGCCTAGACCAGTCCCCTCAGTTAAAGATTTTGTCTTCTCAGCGTTCCTGTTGCTTCCAGCGTAGGTAGGGGAGGAGAAAGGTCAAGGCATGCTGCTGCTGTTCCCTATTTTATATCCTCAGTCCGTGTGCCTAGAAGACACTTGCGCAGACATGTCCTGGTGGGCTTTGCTGAGTCACTGGGATGGGCAATTCCCCAGGGTGTGGTCTTGTGCAACTGAGATACAGAGTTGAGCAGTCCCATTGTGTGGTGTTTAGGCAGCCCTCTTTGAACTGTAAATCCCTTGATTACACTCCCCTGCTGATTAATGGTAGTTGAGTACCCTCCTGGAAAGGGGTCCTTTGTATGTCACTAGCAAACTTACAACATATTTCAGTAACAACCGTATAGCAAAATCTCATAGCTTCATACACACTAATGACAGATATTTGGACAGAACAACGAGTTTCAGCAGAGCATGACCTTTCCTAGGATATTTTATATGGCATGCTTTGTACAAAACAGATCACAGTTACATGACGGTGGTGACTATGGGGGTTCCAGGGTTTTGCTTTGAGGTACAGAGTGCGACACCCATACATTCCAAACACACCTCTCCAGGGGCAGGCTCTCTCCCTGAAATGCATTGCACCCCATGCAACAGACAGTCATTCGCTCGGTTGGAAGGAGGGACAAGGAATCCCAAGCCCCTGCACAGCTCCCATCCCTCAGCGGCTCTGCTGCCTGGCTGCACAGAACCCCCCACCCCCACCTCTGCGTGCATGGCTGGCCAGTGTAGCCATTGTGGCTGCCCCACCCCACAGTAAGGCACCCCACACACTCCTAGCAATGCCCCAAGGGGGACAAATTCCAGAGTGCCAGTGCTTGGATTGGCTGCTGCAGGACTCGCTGCTGTCGGGTCACTGCGAGAGCAGTCCTGACCCTCTCCAGAGATGCAGGCACAGGGCCCGCTCTGGCACCCAGTAGCGCTGCTCTGAATGCAGAGTAAGGGCCTCGCAGGCTGGCTGGCTACACCACAGATGAGAGCAGAAAGTGGCCAGAGCAAGGGAGATGCGGGTACATGCCACTGGAGGGCAGCACTGTGTCTCCTAAAGAAGCCTCCTGGAACAGGGGCTGCTGAGTTGCAGCCAACCACTGATGGAGAGTGCACTGCTCCCTCCTGCTACTCCTGGCTCAGTCTGAGTCGATCTGCACCTCCCAGCCCCTTGGCTTCAGCCCTGCAGCAGCTGTCAGCCCCCAGGAGTGCCTGGGCTGCTTCCCCACATTCTCCTCTCCATATACCATAGCTGGGTCTTTGCTGTAACAGGGCGACACCCGATTGCCTGCTTAGCCCGTATGGCTTACACCTGCCTAGCTGTGTCAGTATATCAGAGAGACAAGCTTGGCTCTCTCACCAACAGAAGTTGGTCCAATAAAGGATATGACCTCTCACATCTTGTCTCTCTAATAGCATTGCCATCACTGTGTAAATGTGTCTTCCTACTCTTCCAGATGTTTAAAAAATGAGAAAATGATTCTCTGGCTTTGCCAGTTCTTGCCTTCACTCCTTTAATGGGCTGGCTATTAGCAGACATTGTACTTACAAGTTAACCAAAGTCATCAACTCTTTCATACTCTTCTCCATCAGTCATACATGTGTCAATATTGACAGCATTCTCTGCTATCCCCATAATCTTGGTCTCCTGCATACTGACACGAATACTGATTGGCAGCTTTTACATTTATGCTCATAAAGACTCTTTGCATTCCATCCACGTTGGTATCCATATGACTATGTCATCTGCAAACTCTAGGACCCACAGTTTATCTCCCATCTCTCCGTCACTCATCTCATTACAAAGTCTAAGACAATACAGAAGAGAAGTGGGGAAAGTACACAGCCTTGCCTTACATCAATAACAATTTTAAACTGTTCCTTGTCTCCACCACGCAGACTCGTCATACAAAGCTTTTATCCATTTGCAATTTTTGCTGGAATTCCATAGTGTCTTGGGATCTTCCAGAGGGCTTTTCTATGGAAACTGTCGAATGATTTGTGAAATCAATGAAGTAAAAACCTTCTTCTGCTGGTATTCTAAGCTTCCCTGGCGGTGAAAACCTGATCTGAACACAACCTTTCGGATCAAAATCCAGCCTGTTCATTCCTGGGTACTTTGTAAATGGCAATTTTCATCCTATTCAAAATGAGTGTGCAAAACACTTTCCCAGGTACAGGGAGACGTGTCATCCCACTCCACGTAACACAAAAAGGCTGAGTCCCCGTTTTAGGGATTTTTACAGGTGACACCTCTTCTCCAGTCTTTAGGGCAGGTCTCCTTTCCCCAGCCCATGCTACACAGCCTGCACACGTAATTCACCATGACTTCCTTTCCAGCACTTAACATTTCACTGTGCATCTTACCACAGCTTGGGGTTTTCACTCTCTTCAGCTGACTTATGGTCTTACTTGTTTTCTCAAAAGCAATTACTCCTAATGAGATGGGAGTACTCCACTGTTTCCTCACAACTCGCAATGTGTGTTAGTGGTTCTGGCTGACTGAGCACAGCCTGGACATGAAACACTCGGTCCTTCCTCTGTGGTTAAAATCATATCATCTCGGGCTTCACAACACGACAACAGTTTGAGAACTGTGAGAACAGTTGTTCGGGTATTAGAAATCCCCTCTCTTATACAATTCCTCATCTTCTCTCGCTTTGGTAGCCATCCAGTGTCCTGTCTCTTCTGGCTGATCTATCAACTTCCTCGTTTTTGTCATGCTGCATAGTCTTGCTGTAGAACAGTTCTTTTACTGCTAGCTTGTTCACACTGAACTCTTCTTTAATTCTTTCCTCAAGCTTCCCTGTATTTAGTTGGAGCCATTCTTCTGTCTTAGATTTTCTCACTCCTGCCCACAAGGCTCGTCGGGAGAAAAATAAATGCTCCCCTGAGCCAACAGAAAGGGCTCTGGGATGCTTAGAACTCCAGCGGGGACAAGTCATTGTGCAAATGCCCATTCCCTGCCAAACACTGCCCCCTGGTACTAAGGCAAGATCCTGCCATAGGGCTCAGCCCCAGAGCACCAAAGCACCAAGCTCAGAGTCAAACTCAGCTGGCTGATTCCCACTGGACTCTCAAGGGGGAACCCTTGCCCCCATTTGCAGCCCTTCCCCTGCTAACAGCACCAGCGGGGTTATGGTTTGATCACACGACCTCCCCTGGCAGGGATTTAGGACTGCCCCCCCCCTTGCACATTTCATAGTATCCTCCTGCCCCCAGACAGACACACCGGTGAGGCTGGTCCCCACTGCAGACAGGGTAGGAATGGGAGTGGAGTGCGTGCATCTGTCCCTAGACCCTACCTGGTGTATCTCCTCCAAGCTGCTGCTGGCAAATTCAAATCCCAGATCAGTGGGGTGGGCAGCTAGTGACATGGCCCAGCATCAGAGACAGGCACTGGCAGGAGAGATGGAGGGAGCTGTGGTGCCTTTGCCCTGCGGGACCCGGTGTGACAGGACTGCAGCTGTCCGCAGCTTCATAGGGATGGCAGGGAAAGGCTGCTCCGCACAACTGGCCCAGCCCAGGGATCTGGATGAGGGATCCCCTCGGCTACCGCTGCATGCTGAGCAATGTCACCACAGGCCAGGGCCTGCCAGAGAGAGAAAGAGATGTTACTGCTCTACTGTGCGGGAGCCAGCCAGAGGGAGCAGCTCATCGGCCCCCCAAGGGCTCCCCACGCCACAGTCCCCAGGCCCCACTCCCCTGCTTGCTCCCTGCCCCTATATTCTCCAGGCCTCCCCACCCTCCCCCACTCCCTACCCCCACACTCCTGAGGCCCCACATGCTCCCCAACCCTGCAATTCCCACGCCTAGGGTTGCCAACTCTGACTGAAGCTATTCCAGGAGATTTTTCCCCCGAACATGATGTAATGTCATTTTCTTAAAATATCCTACTAAAATCTCCTGGATTGCTTTCTGTAGTCACCAGGAGATGGAGGCCGATTCCGGGAGACTCCAGGCCAAGTCTGGAGGGTTGGCACCCCTCCCCAGGCCTCCCTCCCCCCACGCTGCAATTCCCAGGCCTCCCCCGCCCCACCATCCCCAGGCCTCCACCTCCCCAACACACTCCCTGACCCCGCACTGCCCAGGCCCCACAGCCCCGCATGCTCCCCGCCCCTGCACTCCCCAGGCCTCCCCCTCCCCGCAGTCTCCAGGCCTCTTTCCCAACCTCCCACATTCTCCTCACTGCTCTGACCCCCGATATTCCCCAGCTCTGCACCAAACAGGGTGATAAGAATTGGAACGTGTTCTGAGCAGCTCATGCGGGGGCAGTGCATCACAAACCAATCCCAATATTCAGGAAACATGATTTCTTTACCCTAACTGCTTACTAGAGTCGTTCGTCTTCCCTCTATTAATCAGTGCTAATTTCCTTGTCACTCTGCTGAAGTTAAAGCAGAGTCAGCAGAGGAATTGCAGCGCATTCTGCATTCTTAAACCAGACATTTTCATCTCGGGGCCAGGCTCCCCCCAGGCTCCCTGCAGAGTGTAGGCATAGAGCAAGGTGCCCCACACACGTTCCCTGAGAGCTGCCAAGGCCAGGGCTCAGTTCAATGCCCACAGCATGTCGCCATGAGGTACCCAGTACTGTGGCAACACACCACCTGCCAATGTTCTGGTTCCAGCAGAGCCTGTCTCACTGCACAAGTGCTTTTCACTTGTAGGTGCAGTAGTTCGGCAACGCAGGGTACAAACTTTACACTGACTGCCTTTCTCTATCACTTCCCCAAACGGGCAGTGGGTGTCATGTCCAAGCAGAGAGAAATCCTTGTGACCGAGCTCAATTTGGGGAAGAGCCAAGCCCTTTTTTGAGCCCCGGGGGTGCGCAAAAAATGGTAGAAGAACAAGATGATTTTGTAAAATGCTGGTTTGGGGGGGGGAATATAACAAAGGAACCTCTTGTTCAAATAAACCCAAAGGTGGATCTTCATCTTCCCCCACCACGAGGCATAAGAAATTTCAAGCCAATCCAAGTCAGCATGTGGATTTTAGAGCACGAAGAGCCCATCTTTAAACAGGAAACCATGCTCAGCCTCAGTAACAGCCCAGCTGGTGCCATGCTATAACACAAGAGAGGCAGTGTGGCCTAGTGGATAGGGCACTGAACGAGTACACGGGACAGCTGAGTTCTAGTCCCAGCTCTACCACTGGCCTGCTAGGTGATCTTGGGCATGTTCCTGCACCCCTCTGTGCCTCAGTTTCCCCATCTGTAAAATGGGGATAAGGATGCTGACCTACTTTCTAAATCGTTTTGAGATCTGCAGTTGAAAAGGGCTGTCAGAGCAAGGTATTAGTATCTCTTGGCAATGAGAGCAGGGAGCCTTGTTCCTAAGTGCAGCTATTCCCATGTCTGTTCCATGTAGGGTGACCAGATGTCCTGATTTTATAGGGACAGTACGATTTTTGGGTCTTTTTCTTATATAAGTTCCTATTGCCCTCCACCCCCGTCCCAATTTTTCACACTTGCTGTCTGGTCGCCCTAGTTCCATGCAGTTGAGGTTGTGTGCTGTTGCATTGCCGGCAGGCCTGCAACGTGCAAGTGGGGGTCGTGCTAGGAAAGGCTGCCCAGACTGCAGTGGCTGAGCACAGTGCTTTGTGTTCTGCATTTGCATGTTTGCACTCTCTGCTCCCAGGCACAAATAGAAACGTCAGCCTCAAAATAGATTCAATAGGAAACTGAAACCAAAATCCAGCAAACATGTCACCCCGCAGCCTCCTGCCGAGACAGCTCAAAGCTGGAGGGGACAGCTGATCTAGCAACCATCTCATGCAAAGGGAGGCGACTGGGGGCAGACCCTACCCCCTGCTGCAGCTCTGGGGCGAATCCCTGACAAACGCAACACAGCAGGACAAATGGCAAAACACGTCCAGACTCCATAGAGAAGAAAAAAGCAGTTTTGTGCAACTCTGCCAAGTGCTGCGGCTTCACACATCAGCACAACCATGCCAGCTGCAAAGCAGCCACTGCATCCGAGAGCCGGGCACTGAGCTTCGAGTGGAATGGAAAGTTGAACGATTAGAATGGTTAGCCACTAGGTAGCACCGTGCATGATACGGTACAGTGCCATGTATCTGAACCCCTCTTATTAGGACCTTTGCATTATCTGGAATCCCTTCTGTCCGGCAGCATGTGAGACAGCGATACGCACCCTCTGCAGCATGCATCTCATGGGGGTACTGGCGAGGGGAGGGTTGCCAGGTGTCCGGTTTTCAACTGGAATGCCCGGTCAAAAAGGGACCCTGGTGGCTCTAGTTGGCACCGCTGACTGGGTCATTAAAAGTCCAGTTGGCAGCACAGCAGGGGGCCGGGGCTAAGCCTGCCCTAGCTCCACGTGGCTCCCGGAGGCGGCTGCCAGTTAGTTCCCTGTAGCCCCTAGACACATGTTCGGCCAATGGGAGCTGCAGGGGCGGCGCCTGCAGGTGTGAGGGCAGCACACGGAGCCTCCTTGACCACTGTCGCAGCTCCCATTGGTCCCGGTTCCCAGCCAATGGGAGCTGTGGACTCAGGCCTTGGGGCAGGGGCAGTGCATGGAGGCTCCCTGGCCACCCATGCTTCTAGGGGCTGCAGGGACCTGGTGACTGCTTCACGGGAGACGCAGTAAGTGCCACTTGGACCCCACACACCGAATCCTCTCCCGCACCCCAACCCCTGCTCCAGCCCCCTCCTGCACACCAATTCCCTCATCCCCAGCCCCACCTCAGAGCCTTCACCCCTAGCCAGAGCCCTCACCCCCCTCCCGCACCCCAACCCCCTGCCCCAGCCTGGTGAAAGTGAGCAAGGGTGGAGGAGAGTGAGTGAGGGAGGGAGGGGGATGGAGTGATAGGGCGCAGGGCCTCAGAGAAGGGGCGGGTCAAGGTCAGGGCCTTGGGGCAGGGGCGGGGCAGGAGTGTTCAGTTTTGTGTGATTAGAAAGTTGGCAACTCTAGGGGGAGGTGCAAGGAAGGGAGACATGCAAAGCGTACCCTCTGCAGCTAAGGTTGCCAGGTGTCTGGTTTTCAATTGGAACGCCCGGTCGAAAAGAGACCCTAGCGGCTCCGGTCAACACTGCTGACCAAGCTGCTAAAAGTCTGGTTGACGGCGCAGTGGGGCTGAGGCAGGCACCCTGCATGCCCTGGCTCTGTGCGGCTCCCAGAAATGGCTGTCATGTCCAGCCCCTAGGCGCAGGGGCAAATAGGGAAGCTCTACGTGCTGCCCCACACCGATGGGAAGCCGCTCCTCCACTTAGGGGCAAGACATGCTGGCCACTTCTGGGAGCAGTGCGGAGCCAGGGCAGGCAGGGATCCTGCCTTAGCCCCACTGCACCACCAACTGGGAGCTGCCTGAGGTAAGCGCCGTCCGCACCCCAACCCCCTGCCCCAGGTCAGAACCCCCTCCCACACCCTAACTCCCTTCCAGAGCCCACACCCTGCACCGCTCCCTGCAGCCCAACCCCCTACCCCATCCTTGAGCCCCCTCCTCCACCCAAAGTCCCTCCTGGACCCTGCACCCCACACCCCCTCCTGCACTCCAACCCCCTGTCCCAGCCCAGAGCCCACTCCTGCACCCCCAACCCTTCATACCCAGCCCCAGCCCAGAGCCCTCACCTGCTCCTGCACCCTGAACCCCTCATTTCTGGCCCCACCCCAGAGCCCACAGCCCCAGCTGGAGCCCTCACCCCCTCCTGCACTCCAATCCCCTGCCCCAGCCCAGTGAAAGTGAGTAAGGGTGGGAGAGAGTGAGCGATGAAGGGAGGGGGGCTGGAGTTAGTGGTGGCAGGGCCTCAGAAGGGGCAGGGCCTTGGGGAAGGGGCAGGGCAGGGGACAGGGCAAGGGTGTTCAGTTTTGTGCAATTAGAAAGTTGGCAACCCTATCTGCAGTGTGGATCTCATGGGGGGGCAAGGAAGGGAGACACACTATACATGCCCTCTGCAGCATGCATTTCATGGGGAGTGGGAGGGAGCAAGGAAGGGATTTGGCTAATGCAGAGGTTCAGGTAACAGAGCAGAGACCCCAGTCAGGACTGCAAGGAGGAGGAGAAGGACAAGCCCCCAGCCGGGGGGAGGCCACCCTGCTGCTGAATGGCTCCTCCAGCAACACAAGGAGCCCTCTGCAGCCCCACTGTTATGGGAGTGAGTGAGCACAGCTGTGTGACAGCAGAGCTGAAGGGATTTCCTGAGCTGCTGCAGGATGGGTGACACCCGATCACTGCAAGCACAAGGTGCAGGGAAGGCTGCAGTCCTGGTGGGCAGAGCAGAGTCCTGGCCGGGGGTCTTTCCTCTGCCCCACCAGAAGCACAACCTCCCCCTTTCACCTTGTACTGGCAGGGATCGGGTGCCACTGGCCCTGCACGGAGGGAGTCCTCTGCAGTCCTGCTGTCACAGGAGTGAATGAGCAGGGTAGAGCAGAGACTCCTAGCCAGGACTGCAGGAAAGGCCACCCTATGGCTGCGTGGCTCCTGCTCTCTTGATTAGCAGAAGTCCTGATTAGCCAAATAAAATCAG